CTCCATCTGAACATGCTCAAGCCATACCACGAGCACACCGAAGAGGTAATCGCGATCTGTGCACCTGCTACAGAGGATTTTGATAATTTGCCACTCCGAGACCTCCTAGACCAAGAGGGCCAGAGCGGAGACCTGGGAGAAGTACAGTTAGGGGAGAAGTTAAACCCCCAAGAGCGAACCCAAGTCCAAAAACTAATTAGGGAAAAAGGAGCCAATTTTTCCAATCTCCCCGGATATACCCCCTTAGCCACTCACAAGGTGGAAACTCTAGAACAGACGCCCCTTCACCAACCCCCTTACTGCATACCAGAATCCATCAAAGAAAGTATGCGTAAGGAGATTGATGAAATGCTACAGTTAGGTGTGATAGAACATTCTGACAGCCCCTGGACCTCCCCAATAGTCTTCGTACCGAAACGGGATGGGACGACCCGTTTCTGTGTAGACTACTGGAGGCTCAATGATAAAACGATCTCCGATGCTTACCCTATGCCCCGGATAGACAAGCTCCTAGACAAAATGTTCAGGGACCAGTACCTCACCACGATAGATCTGTGTAAAGGGTACTGGCAAATTCCGCTAGCCGAGGACGCCATCACCAAGTCGGCATTTGTCACCCCGTTTGGCCTGTATCAGTTTAAGGTCATGCCATCCGGGATGAAAAATGCCCCGGCTACCTTTCAGAGGATGGTAAATCGGCTACTGGATGGGTTTCAGGAGTATTCTTGCGCCTATCTAGATGATATAGCCAGTTTCAGCTACTCCTGGCCCGAACACATAGGTGCCGTACTAGACCGGATTAGGGAGGCAGGACTAACCCTCAAACCCAGTAAGTGCCATATAGGGATGGCAGAGGTCCAGTACCTAGGGCACCGGGTAGGAAGCGGACAACAGAAGCCCGAACCCGCTAAAATAGAAGCATGCACCAAGTGGCCATCCCCCCGCACCAAAACGCAAGTCCTCGCATTCCTAGGTACCCCAGGGTACTATCGCAAATTTGTGTCCAACTACAGCACCCTAGCCAAACCCCTCACTGACTTAACCCGTAAAAACCTCCCCAAGATAGTAGTATGGGCCCCAGAGTGTGAACAGGCATTCCAACAGCTCAAGACTGCGCTTGTTAAATCACCTGTACTTTCTGCTCCTGATCCAACTAAACGCTTTCTCGTCCATACTGACGCTTCTATGTTTGGATTGGGAGCAGTACTGAGCCAAGTCGGAGCAGATGGCAGCGAGCACCCAATATGCCCATCGTAAGCTTATCTAAGCAGAAAACTTTTACCCAGAGAAGTAAGCTACGCCGCCATTGAAAAGGAGTGCCTGGCTGTGGTGTGGGCCCTCAAAAAGTTACAACCCTCTTTGTATGGGCAACCATTCACATTACTCACAGCTCACAACCCGTTGGTGTGGCTGAACAGGGTGTCAGGAGACAATGTCAGGCTGCTGCGCTGGAGTTTGGCGCTGCAGCCTTTTGACTTTACTATCCACTACCGCCCTGGGAAGCAAAATGGCAATGCCAACGGGTTATTCAGACAAACAGACATTGAAAAGTGATCTGTGAGTACTGCTCCGGACATCCCCAAGCCGATCCGTTGGGATCAGACTGTGTATGCCGGCTTGGTTCTGGGGGAGCATTGTGGCAACACTAGCCACTTAAGACTGTATTTTTATGTATGTGTTACTATCCCTTTAAAGACTGGAAGAACCAAGTGAATAGCTGTATAGGCATATTATATGAACAAGAGCATTCGTATGCTGGCGGCAAGAAAGCCACCAGCATTCATACAGTAGTTTCACGAACAGTGAATTTCAACCCTGTTCGTGAAAGCACGAACTACCGAATGGGAGACCACACACAGGAGGTTGTGTGGCTCCCATTAAATATTGCAACAATGTTTCATTCAGTAATTATCGTGACCTGTGATTAAAATCTCAGTTGACTCCCAGCCTATGTGTCATCTAGTTCTTGGGAAGGAAGGATTTATACAACGCCACTGGGATTACTGTATGCTATACTTATTTTGCTTGGATTATTTTATGCTGTTCCTGTTACCCAGCAGAGATACTGTGGATTATACTACCTCTTCGCTACAGACCCTATCCAGGGTGACCCTTACCTCCACGGTGGGGGATGTCATGTGTAGTAGTAAGGGCAAAGAGCAGAGGACAGAAGTATCTTTGCGAGAAAGGGGGGTTAATAATTGGACATGGCCATCAGCAGTGAAAGAGATAGAGGCTTGAAGACGGGACAGAACATCAGCACCTAAAAGGTTAATTGGACAAGTGGAAGAAACAACAAACCGTGAGAGTATGTCAGAACCCACTCGCAAGAGCTTAGTTAATGGGTTGTTTCTAGGGGTGCCATCGACACCAACACAAGAGACATCTGTGTCGGATAAGCAAGATGGGTTAGGCAGGTCTTGTTCTCTGAGAACACTACGGGCTGCACCTCTGTCAACTAAAAAGGTAGTAGGATGACCATCTATGGGTAGGACTACTGTAGCGAGAGGCCCCCCTTTGTCCCCTGTAGACACTGCCATGACAGGGGTGTTAGACACAGGTTTGCCGGTTACCTATTGCACAAGGTCTAGATGAGATTGATCAGGGCCAGTGTAGTGACGTGTGGTTGTGGTGGAGTGACTGGCCATATCAGTCTGGCGTGTAGGGCGATGTTGACTGGGTGCAGGACGGTCATCTGGTTGGTAATCATCTGTATCATAACTATCAGGGGTAGGGTGAGCATAGCTGCTGGTATCAGCTGGAGAGGGTTGGTAGACGGCTTGGGCATATTCCGGAGGAGGGAAATACGAAGTATGTGCCTGTGGATGTACCTGTGGAGGAAAACAACCATATGTGGCTGCATGGGCATTGGGATACATAGGATAACCAAACACAGGATTAGACGGTCTAGTGGTCGGCTGTCTAGGCACTCTGTGGCGAGGGCAATCTCTCTGGAAATGGCCCAGTTTGTTGTAATTAAAGCATGCCCTAGTCTGAGGCCTAGGGGCAGGTATCATGTGCTGTCCCTGTGCAGCTGGCAGGGTAGATGACATGGGATGTCCTGGGGGGACCGGGGCGGGTCTGATGGCAGGGCTATAAGCGGAAAACATAAGGGGATTACTTTTCCTTTGTGGTGGTTGTAGAACAGACTCTAGGCCTTTGGCAACCAGTAAGAGAGTATCCAGAGGAATAATTCTATATTCGGGATGGGAGAGCACTAGGCCTTTCCTGATGGCTTCCTTAAGGCCTGCAACAAAGGCAGCAGATAACATCTGGGTATGTGCTTTGTTGTGCACACTGAACCCAAGGTCTGAGAAAGTTTGAGTCAATCGCGAATGGTACTTCTCCACGGACTCGAGTTTATCTTGTATAATGTCATTTATACAAGTGGCTTGGTTAGCTAGTTTATCCTGAGCCCAGGCTCGAAGCTGTTCACAGAAAGTAATACCCGACTGGAAATCCATGTCGGTAGTGAGGAGAGCATCATTAAAACTCCTTTCCATAATGGGCCAATAGGCATCCCCAGCCTTGATCTTACACAGACTGTACAGATCACGCCAGGCTGCTGAGTATGTTTAACGAATCTGGGCAACCCTCCGGAAGAAGGGCATGGGCTGCTTCTCAGGGTCGGGGGAGAGATTACTAGGGTTGTAGCTTGGGAGGGATTGAAAGAAACATACATAGGGGGAGCCCCTTCCACTGATGATAAGGCATGGATATGGGTGACTTGTCTCTGGGAAATCCTATTATCCGAAGGACGGAATGGGCTGAGCCCCTGCACATTGTCATCCCCGGGGGGGGGGGACAAGAAATGGGAGATCACGATAGCTGGCAACATCTGGTGAATTAGGGGCTTGAGCATCGGAGCCAGGGGAACCAACAGCGATGGCCTGGGGACTAACTAACTGGGAGGCAGTGGGATGGAAGCCTGATGCTGCAGGAGAAACGCCTACAGAATGAGGTTGTCCTGACATGGTAGACTCATTCGAGCCAACTACCATAATCGGATAACTTTGAGCCGTCATGAGGGAGGTGGAGACAGGAGTTGGAACGGGCGAGGGGCGGGCTGGGTAGGCTGAGGCAAATGAGCGGAGAGGGCGGAAACGAATGACGAAAGATCAAAAGAGGGAGGGATAACAGGGTTATAGACAGGAAGGGGATGGGAATCAGGAACTGGGGTGGAAGGGGCGGTGGGGAGAGGAGAGGGAGTGTAGGAGTAGAGGGAGTGGCTCTGGAGGCAGAGAGGGCAGAAATAAGTGACAAGAGATCAAAGGAGAGAGAGGGACAACGGGGTTCGAGACAGGAAGGGGATGGGAATCAGGAATTCGGATGGAAGGGGTGGTGGGGAGAGGAGAGGGAGGTGGAGTAGAGGGAGTGGCGCTGGAGGCAGAGAGGGCGGAAATAAGTGACAAAAGATCAAAAGAGGGAGGGACAACGGGGTGGGAAGCGGGGAGGGGAATCTGGAACTGGAACAGAAGGGGAGATGGGGAGAGGAGAAGGAGGAGTAGGAATAGAGGGAATAGCAAGGGAAGAGGGAGATATGGCAGAGGGAGATGTAATGTGGGGAACAACGGGTGAAGGCGGGAGGGGAACAGGAATAGAAGGAATGTCAGGGAGAAGAACGAGAGGGGTGACAGGGGAGGCAGCAGGTAAAGATGGGAGGGGAGCAGGAATAGGAGGAGTGATAGAAGGAGATGGGAGAGCGGTGGCTTGGGAAGAAGTGATGGGGGGAGATAGTAGAGGGACGGGATTGGCAGTGACAAGGGAAGGTGTAAGAGAGACGGGACCAGAGGGAAATGGTAGAGGGGCTAGGGTAATGGGAATGGCGGCATGAGGCGGGAGAGGGACGGGGTAATAAGATCCATTCACCCCGAGGATGGGGTACAGAGGGGTTGGGACAGAGGAGCCTACATGCTTGGGTGTCTGTATAGGGGACCCCACCCTCCTTGGTTAAAAGCACTTTATTCCAAATAAACAAAAAAGTTAAAATACGCTTAAAATAATAAAAAATAAAAAAAATTATAAAATGATCAAAATAATGTCCTCATAAGCTCCTTCTGCCGATCCTCATAAGCTCCAAGGATCGGCAGAAGGAGCTTATGTGGACATTATTTTGATCATTTTATACACTTTTTTTTAGCTAATATTTTTTTTGAATTCTTTATTTATTCCAAGGCAGTACATTACATTGAAAACATAATGCATCATAACATTGCAATATATTGTTACATTGTGCATGACAGTATTCTATTGCATTTTCAATAACAGTAGGCCAACACGGTTTTTGTTATGTATCCGGTTGCCGGCAAACCTTACTTGACCATTGTAGCATGGAGTGAGTCTATCAGACAGTATGTCATGGTTTCCCTGTCCGCCCTGGTAAATTTTTTAATTATAAAGAAAAGTATAATAAACATAAAGAGGCTGAAGTTACCATACAAACATTTCTTTTATCGATAGGACATGCCCTATCCTTTCCTATGCAGTCATGTACGGATCCTATAGATCCTTTTCGTGAGGTCATTCGATTTTCTATCCGTTTGCTCCTGTTTTCACATGTCCACATCCTTTAGCTGTGCAAATTATTTACATATTGCATGGAAGTGTTAGATCAGTTGTGATAAGTTCTCACATAGCAAAGCAAGAAAAAAAAATGAAAAGAGGAGTAAGAGGGGTAGGTATGAAGATAGGGAGTGGGGGGGAGGAAATGGGAGGGGAGCGCGGGGGGAGTCAGGCCAACCTACATCCATCTGATCCAAGCCTGTCTAAGGGAGCCTCTTATGTATGTCCATCAAGCACTTGCTGCGCTGGCTACCCAAGGGCCCCAAATTTTTTCAAACTTTTTCGTTGTAACCCCTAACCTGGGCTGTTAGATCACCCATCATGTAATTATCTTTGATTTTCCAAAACACCGCAGTGATTCCTGGGAACTCTTTGCAGCCACACCTGTGTCAAAGCTCTCCTAGAGGCCAGGTTCACCTTATGTAATAGCCACGTATCGTTGCCCTCCTACTTCTACTCCCTTAATATCTGGGGCTTCGTGTATCACCTGAGGGAGTGGTTCCAATGAAAGAGCAAACAATAAGGGAGACAATGTGCATCCCTGTATAGTGCCGTTGCTTAGGCCGAACGGAGTTATCTTTGCTCCCGCGATGCAAATTTGCACCCTAACATTAGGATACATGGCTCGGATCGCCGTTGTGAACTGGGCTGGGAAGCCATAATGATCTAGCACTGTGAATAAGGCCATTTAACCCTGATGAACGCCTTCTCGGCGTCCAACGACAATATCATCATCGGTATTTTCCTCGTGTTTTGTCTCCATATGAGGTCCACATTATGCCTGGTATTTTCAAAGAGTTGCCTATCCTGTATGAACCCCACCTGGTCTGGGTGAACCAGCCAATTCAGCATCGGGTTTATCCTGGCAGCCAGAAGTTTCGCTAGTATTTTTAAATCATGGTTGATCAGGGATATTGGGCGGAAGTTTTCTGGGGCTGATAGATCTGGAGATATGGAGGAGACCACCTCAATTAGTGAGCCTTCCCCCTCCTGTTCAGTCCTCACAGCCTGATGTTGTTTCGTCGTGAGCGGTTGCCAAGGTTGTCCAGCACAGATTCAGCCAATGCATGTATCTCCGCCTTGACTTCGGCAGCATTCCTGGCTATTTCCGTTGCCAGGTAAGTTCTCACCTCCGCTAAGGTCGCCAGTATCTGCTTGGTGTCCATCTCCTGGGGGCCAGGTGAAACGCTAGATCCCGGGCTAGAGGGCAATCGAGGCCCTCCAGTGCTGTCCCATCCGCCATCTTGAGTGGTGTTTCTCATAGCGCGGGAGGCCGCGAAGAGATCCGACACCATTGCGCCCTGTACCGGCTGTTTTTTTGGGGCCCTTTTATCCATCTCAGGTTCCCCTGCAGGTATTTAGCTGTTTAATTTCGAACTGCCGCTTTTATCAGCTGTTGGTCTGGCGGTCCCGGCGGAGCTTCACACGGATGCGTCCAGCTCGCGCCTACCGCAGACCACGCCCCCGTATTTGAGCTAATTTTAACTATATTTGGAATAAAGTACTTTTTTATTCCATATAACTGGTAATTATGCTGGTTTTATTTTTTTTATTTTATTTTTACTAATAGCAGGAATATATATCTGGATAAATGTTGGTCAGATTTTAAATTATTAGAAATCATAATTAGTTAAGGAATATATGGTTATAAAAATTATATTCCTGCAGGTGGAATAAAGATAACGATATTAACTGTAAATTTGCCAAATGTTAGCATACCAAATTTTTATCCAGAGGTATTGACTTGTTCTGATATCAAGGATAATGAATTTTAATTAAGGAAGTTAAAATTCTGCAAACGTAAAATCTGGTTAGAATGATTCTTATTGAATAGACATAGGAATGGTGAATGATTTGGTATGAGAATTATTGTAGTTGTAAAAATTGCAACATAGGATATCTTGCCTATGAGGATTGTAGCCAGCAGTGAAAGAGTTAATCCAGTGTGATTTGACGCTGTGCTGCGGTGAAATGCTGTGTTATGTTGATTTCAAAGAAATGGCCTGTCGTAAATCTTGTTGATAACTTGCTATTTAGCTTTCTTTATTGTGTTAAACCACTGCCATATTGAATACTTATGCTATACCTAAATATTCACTGATTGTCACGCATGTTACATGTATTATTTTTATTATTGTCACAATAAATTATATTTTTATAATTAATTTGTGATTAATGTGTAAAGTAAAATCTTCTAATGAAAACTTACTCTCGTGTATAGGAGAATTAAAATAGTGGGTAGTTCTCCGTTTGAAATCCTTAATCGGGGAAACAGTGCCAAGGTATCAATTTTTGGTGTAATAAAAATTAAATAATTTTTTTGTAATTTGTATGAAAATGTTTTTAATATTTATTACCCCATAAATATCCTCACAATGCACGTCCAGTGTTGCTCATATTTAAACATGGCATTGCAGCGAAGGTGCCTCTAGTGGCTGTCAGTTTGACAGCCACTAGTTGCATATTTAACCCTTTAAGGTAAACATTGCCGTTTCTGAAAAACGACAATGTTTAACCTTGTACGTTTCAACCTACAGGACCACTAGACTGAGAACACTTCATTGAGATTATTATTTTATTAATTATATAGCGCCATCAGATTCTGTAGCGCTGTACAATGGGTGGACTAACAGACATGCAATTGTAACCGGACAACTGGATGTACAGGAAAAGAGAGGTGGAGGGCCCTGCTCAATGAAATTAAGTGGACTGGGTGACTCATGGTACTTTAATTGTGGGAGAGTATTAAATATTTTTACACAAAAATGACCATAACATCCTTGCATTAATATACAAGGGTAAAAAACACACTATTTCTCTCAACTGGCAGCCAGTGGTAGGCTGAGATTGTCAGATTATGATCACAGACTATCACTGATATCCTGGCTAAACCATCTTCATAATCTTGTTGTTATGGTGCTTTGAGTGTTCCTATAATGAAATGTACAATATGAACCATGCTTAAACAGCGTTTTTCATGAAAGTGAGAATTGTTGGGAATTCAAAAGAGATTGAGTGTATTTCTATTTTAGACCAAAATAGCCAAATTGTGTTTGCAGTTTGGCTATTTTCGTAAATACGAATGGGGCAGCAAAATCTATTTTGCCTAGGTCGGCAAAAATCCTTGCACAGGCCCTGATCCAGACATACGTTAATCTATTTTTCCCAATTTACAACTTGCATTGCAAAAATAGCTGATATTGACTGGCCATTATGCTTAGGATTTAGATTACCGGATATACTCGAGTATAAGTCGACCCGAATAGAAGTCGAGACCCGAAAAAAATGGGAAAACTTATTGACTCGAGTATAAGACTAGGGTGGGAAATACAGCAGCTACTGGTACATTTCTAAATAAAATTAGATCCCCCAAAAATTTAATTTAATATTTATTTGCAGTGTGTGTATGTGTATGAGTGCAGTGTGTGTGTATGTGTATGTGATGCAGAGCCTTGGTGGGGGGTGGGCATTTTTATTATTTTTATATTTTTTTTTTTTATATTTTTGTTATTTTATTTAAATTGTTATGTTATTTTTTTTCCGTCCCCCTCCCTGCTTGATACATGGCCAGGGAGGGGGGCTCTCATTCCCTGGTGGTCCAGTGGATGGGCTGTGTAGGAGGGGGCTGGCAGGAAGCATTTACTCACCTTTCCTGCAGCTCCCTTCTCTCTCCTCCGGTCCGGTCAGCTCCTTTGTCAACTCCCCTGCAAGTCTCGCGATGTGAGTGACGCGCGGAGCGTTACCACAGTAATCCATGGCAACGCTCTGACCCTGCGGCTCTCGCGAGACTTGCAGGGGAGCTGACCAGACCGCAGGAGAGAGAAGGGAGCTGACAGGAGCTGCAGGAAAGGTAAGAAAATGCTTCCTGCCAGCCCCAACAGGACCGCCGGGCTTGTAATGAGCCCAGCGGTCCTTGTCTGTATTATGGCAATGTAAGTTGCCATAATACAGACACTCACTCAAGTATAAGACTAGTGGGGGTTTTTCAACACAAAAATTTTTGCCGAAAAACACGTCTTATACTCTAGTATATATGGTGTATATATATTTTTTTTAGTATGAGAAAAATACATATTAATCATCATTTACAAAATAAAGCATTAGAAATATACGTTGGAGACAGTCTATTTTTTATTCAAGAAAAAAAAATAATTACTTAAAAATGTGTAACATTTACAGGGTAATAGCCACTTTATAACCAGTAAACAATTCTGTGAAATACAGTAAGAGCCAAACCGCAAAATTACACTATTTGCTATATATTGGTCAATATTGGTCATTCAAGTTGGAAATTTAGAAAATACAGCCCCAAAAAAACTTGTTTGGAGAGTGGATATTTTAGATAAAACCTCATGTTGGATCTAAAAGTAATCATCAGAAACAAACTTTATGGATCAAACATTCAGAAATGTACACTCTGCAAGAATATGATTTAAATATATACACAAACTCCCTAATCCAATGTTTCCATACCACATTAGACATGGGGCATTTGCTTGATAATATGTATTTGGAGAGAATACTCACCTCATTATATATTCTTTTATTAA